TGCATTCAATTCCACCCTCAGGCAACTGTCTGTGTGGAGTTTGCACATTCTCCCCGTGTCTGCATGGGTTTCCTCCAAGTGCTCTGATTTCCTCCCACAATCCAAATATGTGCTGGTTAGGTGGATTGGCCATGCTAAATTGCCCATAGTGTCTAGGTGAATTAGCCATGGGAAATGCAAGGTCACAAGGATAGGGTAGGGATTTAGGTCTGGGCGGGATGCTCTTTTGAGGGACAGTGTGGACTCAATGAGCTGAATGGCCTGCTTCCATACTGTAGGGGTTCTATGATCCGGAATATTTGATTAACCAGCACATCCTGGGTCCCACAGGTGCCAGTTAATAAAAGGTTTGCTGTATAATACAAACAACAGCACTGATTCCTGCAGAACACCAGTGGTCACAGATCTCCAGTCAGAAAAGTACCCTTCCACCGCAACTCTCTCTCTTCTATCACTAAGCCAGTTCTCTATACATCTTTCCAGCTCACTGCGATCCCACATGACTTCACATTTTGCATCATCCTACTACGAGGGGCCTTGTCAAAGGCCTTGCTAAAGTCCATATAGACAACATCTACCATCCTGCCCTCATCCATCATCTTTGTCACTTCCACAAAAAATGCAATCAAGTTTGTAAGACATGGCCTTCCCCGCACAAAGCCATGCTGCCTAGTGCTTGTTTGTTTATTTTTTTTCCAAATGAGAGTAAATCCTATCCATAAGAATCTTTTCCAGTAATTTCGCTACCACTGACATAAGGCTCACTGGACTTCAATTTCACTGATTATCTGTTACCCTTGTTAAACAAAGGAACAACATCGGCTATTCTCCAGTCGTCTCCTGTGATTTTTCATCTCTCAAGTAATGCATTATTTCTTCTAGCATTCTTTTTGCACTTGTGGGTTTCCTGGCTCAGCAATGAAACATGATTCCCCTGGTGTTTCCAAAGTCATAATCACTAGAAAGTTTACATGCAGTTACAATTCTGCCCAACCCTAAAATGTGTTAGATTTATAGATCCCACCTTGTAGGGGCCATGGTTAAAAATAAGGTGTTGCCCATTTAAGAAACAGATGAGGAAGAACAAAATTCTCTCACAAGGTTGAGTGTCTTTGAAATTCCATTCCTCGAAAGGCACTAGACGCAGATTCTTTAAATTTTTTTTGAGGCAGAGGTAGATAGCTTCTTGATTACCTAAGGGGATAAAAGGTGACTAGGGCGTGCAGGAATGTGAAGTTGAGGTTAAAATCAAATCACTCATGATCATATTGAAAGGCAGAGCAGGCTAGAAAGCCACGTAGCCTACTGTTGCTCTTTGTTTGCATATTTGTAAATATGGCACATGCTCCTGACCCTACAATTGGGCACTTTTACTTATCTGGAAATCATTGATGCTGACCCTGGTGTGCGTAAAGGAAACAGTTTCATTTCCCAATCTGGAGTAAATTTACATTCAAAAATAGTCAATTGGACAGCCTTAAAAGTAAATAATTTAAAGGTTATAAATGTTAGGGTACTGAAATCTCTGTTTGAATAATCAACTTCATTGGTCAGCAAACAAAGCTCTGTGCAAACGTGCCATTGAAGATACAAATGACACTATAGCACAGGACTGCCAACTGTACATTGTGTTTTACAAGTTCCATCTTGTGAACTGTTATCTACACAACACCACACCGAACTGAATTTATAATTTAAAGAGAATGAAAACAAACTGTGCCAACAGGTATTAGTAAAAATATGGTTGGATTCAAATGTTTAATCACCACTTTCCAACACATCCTTGTGAAATTAAGGTATTGTACTCTCTTCTGAAGCAGGAAAGATGCTTTGCCCTGAAGGGGCCTCTAGCAAAGGTTTGAGTTGGGGCCCTTACATTTTTGTTTCAAACATTGAAATCAAAATCAATTTACAATCATAGAATCCCTACAGTGTGGGAGCAGGCCATTCAGCCCATCAAGTCCACACCGACCCTCTGAACAGCATTCCACCGAGACCTTCCCCATCCCGATCCTTGAAACCCTGCATTTCGCATGGCTATAGTCTGCATATCTCTGGACAGTGTGGGCAATTTAGCATGGCCAATCCACCTAACCTGGACAACTTTGGATTGTGGGAGAAAACAGGAGCACCCAGAGGAAACCCACACAGACAAGGGGAGAATGTGCAAACTCAACACAGACAGTCGTGCGAGGGTGGAATTGAACCCGGATCCCTGGCACTGTGAGGCAGCAGTACTAATCACTGAGCAACCGTGCTGCCTTTTTTACCGAATCAAGTGTCAAGTTTGTACAGATAACATCATGATAGGTTATACTTGCAATAGGGAACTAAAAGGAGTTGACAGAGTGATGAGAAATTAACAATTACTACAGCAAGGGATTCTTTCAGTGGAGTGTCCCTGATTGGCTCAGAACCTTGTGCATTGTCTTAATGCTACCCCTGTCTGTATGAATGATTAAAGGATGGCAGCTCAATTTTATGAATTATCAATTATGTGGCTGAGAGAAGACACATTAATAGCAAGGGAATCATACTAATATATGATGAGCGTGCAGATAACATTTGGGAAGGTTGAGTGACTTGTTAGCAAATGCTGAGAACATATAACCATACTTCTCAGCGATAGTAACAAAATGTGAAAATTCAATAATTATTTCAAACATCACTTAACATACAGAGCTCCTGCACTCAATGGAGAGTTATCTGCAAGAAACCATCTTTCTAAGATACAAATAGAACTTCTTGCTCAATAATGTGTGCTAATGTGAATTTAAAATTATATTTAAGAGCATAATGTTTGATTGACTGAGTAGATAACAATGTTACACACTATTAAGGCGAGATCAACTTTGTTTAGAATATTTTAGTTACCACATGAACTTGACATTGAATGAGGATGAAACTCCAAAATAAATTTGCTCTTACTCCGGACAAGATCATTCTACAATTCAAAATTTAAATTTCATGTTTAGATTATTCATGTTCGGTCCATCAACACTACTGGTTAAAATGATTTAATTTTACTTAGCTTTTATTTTCACTATTCTTTAGCCAAAAAGAACCTATATTATAGGTTTACACATTTATATTAAACAATTAAAGTAAGGTATATTTTATGCAACACATTGGAAAAGCACACGGCAATTACCTTTATGATCCCTGCTCAAGATTCATAACATTATGCTGCATGATCACAATTGTAATTGTGTTAAGATATAATTAACAATAGATTTCCATTAAAGTCACAACCTATTCAGCAATTCCATTGACCCAGAATCCACTAAATACTCAATTATATTTAATTAAATAATTCACTTTGGAATACATTCAATACATTAAAATGACAATAAATGAACAACAATCTGCTGAATTAATAGAAGTTAATGAAAAATTCTATTATTGCAACAGTACCAATGATCTGTAGTGTAAGGCTGTATAAACAAAGACAGTTCCTTACCTCAGTTCCATTGTCCAGCTTAAGGATAACATATATAGAGTTATGTCACTGATGGCTTGTTTTTACAATAAATCAAAATTTGTAACATCCCATGAGAGAAATGTCATGTTTGCTTTTTGTAGCAAAATTCTAAACATTTTAGTAACAAAATGCAATTAAGATACAATACCTAATTTTGCAGTGAGCATTTTGAACCACATCATTTCTATAAATGCCATTCAAAATTTATAATTAAGGAGGATTTGAATAGACCAGTTATAATTAGTAATTAACTAGTCAATCTGTGTGGTGTTTCACATAAAGAATTGAGAGCAAATGAAGTATTCTAATACCATATTAGAAGGAAGATAACTGGACACAGAAGGAAAGGAATAACAAGAGAGGGGAAGAGGAGGGAGAAAGGAAGACAAGATGAGAGAAAAGGGTATGGGAGATGGGGACAGGACAGGCATGTGTCAGAAGAGAAAGACATAGGCATAAATGGAGCAGGATAGAGAGACAGACAAAGAAAAAGGCATTACAGGAAAAGAGTGGAGTGTAAAATAGAAAATGTAGGCATTGATGAAAATGTAAGGAGGCATACGGGACGCAATAGGGAAATAAGAAGAAAAGAGTTTAAGAAAGAGGAGGAGGAGAATGAGGAAAGCATGGGAAGGAAGGATAAAGAGGTCATGGTAAAGGAAAAGAATGAGCAAGGTGACAGTTGGAGAAAGAAAAGACATTGGAAGATGTTTGGATTATTAGAACAGTTGGAGAGAGGAGGTGCAGCATAGAATTTGAGAACCCATCTTATTACATGTGGCAGAGGATTGAGTTATTGGACAACAAAAATGTACTAGATCAGTAGGGACAGAACAAGCCTATTTACCTGTTTAGTGAGTAGGGAAAGGCAAGAGGGGAATGCGCTTCAGGGTGGGGGTGGTGTTAAAACAGCATCAAGATTTGTCAATATGCAGGTAACAGGTCCAATCAGGTCATGAAAGCAGGTGAGGTTGGGGGTGAAAAACAGCACAAGGGATGTGGAGAGCCAAACTGATTCAGTGGTAAAGTAGATAACAGGGATAAATGAATACCATGTATGGGAGTTGTAAATAGCTTACTTTTTGCAAGCTTAATTTGCTCATGCTTGAGGGCTCTTATGGCACAGTGGTAGTGTCCCTGTTCAGGGCCAAGACACCTGGATTCAAGTCCCATCTGCTCCAGCGTTGTGTAATAACATATTCGAATTGGTTAATTAGAAAATATCTACTAGCTTATGCTTTTAAAAAAATACATCATATCTACAGGCTATGTGGGTTAGCCATGAGAAATGCAGGGTTACAGGGATAGAAGGGGGGATAGGTCTGGCTGGTATGCTCTTCAGAGGGTCAGCGTGGACTCGATGGGCTGAATGGTCTACTTCAACACTGTAGGGATTTTATAGTAGGCCGTATATAGGAGCTATTACCAAGCGCAAATCTCTTTGATCCATAAAGTAATTAAAGAATTCTATATCATATAGGATAGTCAGTCAGTTTTGAATTATTGGAAAACTACTAACCTGATCTCTTATTCTCTCATTTTCTTTTATCAGTTCTTCACATTCGTCAATTGCTAAAGTGGAGGAAAAAGACACTTCACATAGAAATCAAGACAATACAATATTCAATTTTTACTCCGGGATATTACATTGTAGAAGTACCAATGGCTATTCATCAAGCTTAAAATACTGGAAAAAGGTATTTATTCACAATTCAAAGCTCTGTATTAAAGTTACCTCCAGTAAGGGATAGACATTTAGTTAAGATTATCATACATAGAGTTAAAGGACAAGAAAGAAAATATTAAACACAGGGTGAATAGACTTTGGAATCCACAAACCACACACTTTAACGAGAAAATTACATGGATATTTGAAAGATATTCAGAATTTTTACTCCTACATCCATTTCTCTTATGTTTGTCAATGAAAAGCAGCATGGTTTTATACTTTGTGCTGCTTGGACATTCCGCTGAAGGTGCCCTTTGAAAATGCCATGTGAAAAAGTACTCATCTGTGGAACATTTGTATAATCAGATGACACTCATGCTGGTTCCTGCTCAGACAGAATAATGACAGCTTAAAATTGCTTGTGTTTGTCTGTTCACAGAAGCTAGGTCAGCTCTTATTCACCTCATAAGATGTGGATTGATTTTCCTTGCTGACCAATTATCATCTATTGGTGTAAAATTTACTTCACACATGGTTTGTAATAAAGAAGTTTGTCTTTTCAGTCACTGGTTTACTCTCTTCCTTTGCCTTTAGATGATATGTCTTATTTATTGATGGGTGTAGACAGAGATTAAATAAATAGATAGTTACTAAGACAATCATTGGTGCAGATTTGGTGGGAGAACCATCTTATACTGTGACAATCAACAATTATATAAACTGTCAATGCACCTTGCCTCTTCAGAGTTTGAAGCTATATCTCCTGATTCTGTACTGCAACCATCCATAAGAGTTTTCAATATTTTAGCCCTCCATAAAGGTAAATAAAACTAGAGTCTTAAATCTGAATTCATAGCCAGATATCATGAATTGCGTAACAGTTTGATTATCCTTTACTGTATCATTTGCAATGCCTGGATATGCTTCCTGTAATCCTGACCAGAATAATTTGCAGTCCTCCAGATTTGGCCTTGTCAGTACTGCATACAGGCTCAGTATCATGCTGTGGTTTTATAAAACAGGGTATAGTTAAATTACCTTACTGTTGCCATATAACTGGTTTCAATAGAATATACACCAATGCCTGTAGAGCCATGTCTGGTGTTTTATTCTCTAGCCTAGAGTCATTTTCTTTATCTTTATTTCTTTTCTGCAGTCTTATTAAATGTAATTTATCATGCAAGCTAATGAGAATATATACGAGCCATCTTCCCAACATATCTAAAAAATCTATGCACTCAGTTTGCCTGTTTTCCATTGTTTGACACTCCTATGCCAAATTACATATCATCTGAAAATGGAGCTTTGTTTCTGTCCCTAGTAACAAATCATTTATATTCACCTCAAATGGCAATGGCTAAGTGCTGATTACTACGGCACCCCTACTAGTCTCTGTCATTTTGATACAGATCTATTCACAAACACTTTTTGCTTTATTCTGATCTTGGCAGCATCCAATCTCGTTCAGACTCTCATCTCTTATTCCATTGTCATTCTGCCATATAAACTCATTGCTTGTGTTATACAAGATCATAATTTTTAATGAAATGTAAATATATCAAATTCATGGATTTTGTTAACAAGGTCTATCATGTTTTTTGTCCTAGCTGTTTTACGATACCTTCATTCACAATGCCTTTTCATAGAATCCCTACAGTTTGGGAGCAGGCCATTCAGCCTATTTGAGTCAACACCGACCCTCTGAAGAGCATTCCACTGAGACCCACCCCATCCCTGTAACACTGCATTTCCCATGGCTAATCTACCTAGCCTGCATCTCTTTGGATTGTGGGAAGAAACTGGAGCAAATGGAGTAAACCCTGGCAGACAAAAGGAGAATGTGTAAACTCCACACAGACAGTCAACTAAGGCTGGAATTAAACCTGGGTCCCTGGCACTTTGAGGCAGCAATGCTAACCACTGAGCCACCATGCCACCCTCTTTTGATGTAGGCTTCCCCTACATCAAATGATAAGCTCACTGGCTTAATTTGCTGCATTTAACTTACTGCCTTTTTTTTTTTAAGAAAGATTGCTGTCATGTTTCCAATCTTTCTTTGTCACTTCTATTTCTAATGACTCCCCAAAGAGTAGCATGAATGTGACCAATTAAGAATAAAAGCAAAAGATTGGGGATATTGAAATCAGAAACAAAGTGCTAGAGAAACTCAGCAGATCAGGTAGCAACTGTGGAGAAAGAATCAGAGCTAGGTTTTGAGTCCTTCTTCTTCAGAAGGTAATTAAGAACCTCTGTCCAAAGGCTTGAGATAACAGTGTGGAGCTGGAGGAACATAGCAGGCCAGGCAGCATCAGAGGAGCAGGAAAGCTGATGTTTCGGGGTCAGGACTCTTCTTCAGAAAATACTTTTCAGAAAAATTCTCTGAAGAAGGGTCCTGATCCAAAACGTCAGCTTTCCTGCTCCTCTGATGCTGCCTGGCCTGCTGT